TCTTTGAAGGCTTTGAGCATTTTATTTTCAGCTGAAACATTATGTAACTGTAGATTCACGTGTAGTTCAGAAATAAACCATGGACCTTTAATTCATTTTTCTCCCATTGTTGTTTTGCTTTCTGTGTCCCAATATTATTATCTATCTTGTTACATGTTCTATAGGCAATTAAAATATATCTTTGTAAGTTACATTTCTTGTTACATAGGTCTTGCTTTATCTCGGTCTTAACTACCAGTAGAAAAATATAAACATGAAGTATAAAAAGGAAAACCATATTAATATGCTGAGCTGTGAAAGGCTCAACTCAACAATTTCTGACATTGCCAGTTCTGCTAACAACCCACTACTATTATGGACTATTGGATTATATTGGATGATTTTACTGAATTCATGCACATACAATATTTGAATGGCAACAGAATGGCCATTTCTGATAAAACAAAACCAAAAAAAGGAGATATATATGAAGGACCATTTTGTAGTGTATATCTACCCATATATAGCTACTTTCTCTTAGTTCAATGAGAAGATTTGCATTAATAGTGTATGGACAAGACATCATGTCTTCATCTTATACTCTGAATAACTACTATGAAGACAACAATATGCAAATTTAATTATTGTAACTGTCCTACTAACCTGTTTTGGAACTATCTCATTCTTAAGTCTTTCTCATTAAAATTAAAAAAATAAAAAATAAAATATATCTTTCTGTTGTTAGAAAAGGGAGTCTTCAGCAAAATATTCTAAAAGAGTACAGAAGCCCATAATAGCATTGGGTTTACACACCTATAATATTCAACAACGGAACTTAAAAAAAAATTGGGGTATAACTATGAATGTCCATTTTGTATCTGTGTATTCAAAGTGGTTGGGATAGATATATAGTTGCATTCTCTTAATGAATAGAATGATTTTTTCTAATGGTGTTTGTAAGTAGGATCACAAGTCTGCATCTTGTACAGCAATTAACCACTAAGAAGAATATATGCAGTGTATTATTTGTTGAAACTGTACTTTCGATTTGATTTGAAACTGTCTCATTGCTATATGTTTATCAATAAAACTTTGAAAAGAAAAAAAAGAAAAGGGAGTCTTCTATAATTATCTATTAAATGTTTTAGGTGATCATTTTTATTATATATTTGCTTTGTTTGTTTCTATTGCTCTATCAAGTTATCAACAAAGGATATTGCATTGAAGAGAGCTCAGAAATAAAAATGGTAGAGATAACTTTGAAGGGAGGGACAAAAAGATAAAAATACTTGTCCTAAAGACTGTTATATTATCTAATGATAATGTGAACTATGCACCTGGATTCTATAGGAAAAAACAGATTAGTAACCCAAGTATGAAATGAACATCAGTCAAGATGACATACTAGCTGACTGCTAGTCTTGAATATATGACCAGTGTCTCAGTTATTTTTCTCTCACTGCTGGGACAGAAATACATGACCCAGAAGTAAGGAAGAAAAGTTTTTTTTTAACTCACAGTTCATGGAGATTTCAGTCCATATTCAGCTGGCTTCAAGGCAGGGTGACACATGGAAGAGGGCAGCTGTTTATGACAGCAGAAAACAGTGAAGAGCAGAAAGGGAGAAACTGGTGGCAGCAGCAACAGTGGCAGAGGCCAAGTGCAAATTTTTCTCTCTTCCTTACATTGTATTCAGGCTATCTGCCCCAGGGTGGGTGTAGCATTTATACCCATAATACCAGCAGCACTCATACCTATAATCCCAGGTTTAGATTATGAATTAATCACAAAATCATCAGGCTTTCAGTGGACACATACACACAAGCCATGACAACCAGGGAAATTTAAAAAAAAAATTAGGAAACACTGAAAAAAAGAGGTACTCCAAAAATAGATGCAAAGGAAAGTATTGATAAGTAGACTGTGAGATGTAAGGACAATGAAGTTAGAGTCATTTACAGGTTCTTAATCTGGAGGGCTGTCTAGATGGTGCTAACATTGACAGAACTCCCAAGCATGTGAAAGAAAACACATGTTGCCAGGTTGAGCAGAAACAGTTCAGCTCATGTCATCTTGAGTATAAAGCAGGCATTGATCATCCAGAGATGTCTAACCATTGGCTGACATTCCAAAGGGAAGGCTGATATAAAAAAGGATTTTGGAGCTATGGTTTAATGGGTAATACTCAACTCTACCTACAAGGAAATTATCCAGCATATACAAGCAAAATGAAACAGATAAGAATACGACCCATGAAATGCCAATGTCTAGGGCCACTAGATGAGAAAGTAAGAGAGAAAAATAGCATCCTCCTGTCACAGCAGAGATAATGGGTAGGAGGATAATTTAGCCCTCCAACCTTCACTGAGTGTTAAATATGTGAAGTGCACTGGGCTGAAAGAGCAGCTTTCGTATTCTTACACTCCTCCAGATACGAACAGGTTATTTCACTATAGTGTGGTCAGCTTCATGATATGTATGCTCAGTCTGTAATAGAAAGATAGCAGAAGGCACTGAACACAGCCTAAGACCGGAAAACAACTTTCAAGAGATGATAAAAAATAAGCGGCATCTTTAGGGACAGTCAAAAGCCAGGGAAGGAAGGACAGAGGGAAAGTCACACCAGGAAAAGACACTGTATGAACAATAGAAAAGATGACAGGAACTTAAGAGAGAAGACAGAATTCCCTAAAGGCAACAGTCAGCAGTGCTGAGCATTACTAAAAAAGAAAATGAAATTGAGTTGAAAGGGGCCCTTTGAGTCTGCCACTTAGGAAGTCACTCGTGACCCCGGCTGTAGCTGCTCTTCTGAAGTGAAGGGGGCAGAAAGCAGCCCACAGTCAGATGAAGAGCACATGGAGGAATGTGAAGACGAATGATGAAAGCAGGCGCACTTTGCAAGGAGCTTAATGGGGAAGAAAATACAGACAGGGAGTCGGAATTGCTTAAAGGTCTGAAAAGGTTTTGTTTTATGATCAGAGAGAGTTGAGGACATTTACAAGTTGCAGAACAGAAAGTACTGTGCACAAAAGGTTTAAAATATGACTCATTTATTCTTTCATTCACACAACAAATATTTATAGAAACTCTGCACTGTCCTGCCTCACACCATGCCAATGTAAGCAGCCACTTTACTTGATGGTGTTAGCATCAAGGTTTAAACAAACTCAAGAAAGAAAGGTAATGGTGAACACCAAAGAAAATTATCTGAGTCCTGAAGTCAGCTTAGTAGTTATAAATACTTATAATAGCAAATTCTGTTTGTCACAATTATACAAAATAAGCCACAGTTCAGGGTAAGCATACAATTTTGAGACCATGTTTGCTTCAGGGAGAATGATTATTTTAAGATTATTTTGGGGCTGGGGAGATGGCTCAGTAGAATAAGCGCTTGCCTGGCAAGCACAAGGGCCTGAGTTCAATCCCCAGTTCTGAAAAAAAAAAAAAAAAGGCTTTTATGTTGTAATTACTACAAACAATGAAGCCCATGTCAGTTCATATGTATGATGTAATATGAGTGGTGTGTAGGAGGGCATGATGGCTTACGCTTGTATGAAAGTTTGGTTAGCACTCAGGGACAGAGAACCAGCCAGCCAATAACCATGGGATATAAGTGGATGTTAAGTGTTGAATGGACCAAGACAATTTTCTGAAGCTGGAAACCATGGTATTACTATTACTATTATTATTATTATTATTATTATTTAATCATTAAGTTGAAGGCTGTTCATAGTGTAGTTTCTTGGCATCACCCAACACCTCTCTCCACAACCCCTATTTTTCTCCTGCTCATTCTTTGTCTGGTTTTGAAAGATCATTTTATGTGAAAGGCAGATTTATTCTCATATTGAGAAGCTAGCCATTCTGCCATCATGAGAGATATTTAAATGTTTCTCTTATTTTTCCTAAAATTAATTCTCCATTGTATAAATATTTACTTAACAGGTAGTGATTCTTTAGCTCCCAAAGATATTAATGATATATAACCTTCAGATACAATGTTTCCGAGAAACCTGACCCAATTCCTTAATCTCTTGGAGGTTATTATATTTTTTTTCATTCTGACTTCCTTCTCTCAGATGTTTTTTAGCTAGTTAAGTTTTTAATCCTATCCCTTACACCAAATAAACTTTTAAATGTGAAAAAGTAAAGTTATAATGCTGAATATGGTAAGTATGTTTAAAGTAATCCTAATAATAGTATATGTCTGAAACAGGAGCCGTTACAATATCCAGGAATTTAATGTGATAATCTACAAGCAACTCTATTTCTCCTATTTCATTTCTGAAGTATGTTTTAATTTTAATAGAACATTGGAAATAGTTCTGTATTTTTGTATTTCACTAGTCTTTCCCAAAATGTCCAGGACCATTCTGAATGATAATTTAGCAAACTACCTATTAGTTATCTCTCCAAGATTTTGATCTCCTCCAAATCTGATGAGCACATTGTCTAAATCTTCATGTAAGCACTGGTAAAATGAAAGAAAGTAGACTTATAAGGGAATGTTTCCATTACAAATTCAAAAACTTTATTCCAGGGTGACATTAATATATCCTTAACAAATCTAGTCTTGTTTTCATTACAAGCAAAGCTCTTATTAAAAGCCTTGGAAAATATTTAGCTATGATTAAGATAGAATGTGCTTCAAAATCCACTAATTCTGTACAAATAAAAAATGCAAATCAATGTTGCTTACTCCATGATAGCTATTCCCTTTTCTATGCTATTGAAGTTAGTATCAGTTTGGTGATCTATTCTAGAGATTTAGAAAAGATAGAAATTAAGCCCATTAGTATATGCAGTCTGAAATTAACTTTTTACCAATTTTGTTCTTCAATGCAATTGAAATAGCTATTATTTCCTGTATTTCTCTTTATTTTCTGAGAGAGAAATTGTAACTCAAAGAAGATGTAAAACTGTCTCCTATCTCCATCAAAACTCTACTGCTCCTATTCAGGACTATTTCAGAAAATTTTCAGTAAAATAGCTACTACTTCCACGTGATTCTATTTTCTTACCTCATATAAAACTGTAGTGTTCCCATGCAGGAGAGGCCCATAGCAGATGTATGAATGTCCAACAACCCAGCCTAAATCAGAAGCTGCCCACCACACCTAAAAATTGAGAAGATAATAAAATGCATAAACGTGCTAATCAGAAAAAACCGCATGCAGTGGAAACTTAAAACCATGGTTACCTCTCCAGGTTTAAGTCCATATATGGAAGACATGGTCCAGTTTAGCATCACAGCATATCCCCCAGTGGGCCTGACCACGCCCTAAGGGAGAGAAAATGGAAAGTAAAAATTGATTTAAAACCTCTGCAAGATTCTCCATGCTATCTCTTTGGAAAGTTCTATGTTTGGAGTATTTGATATCCTATAAGCATCAAACTACTTTGACTTTTACATAAGTATTTGAATCATTTTTTTTTCATTTCTGCAACAATCAACACAGAATAATTTAACTTGATCAATATCATTTGTAGAATCCACCTTCATATGATATTCTTGACTTTCTATAGAAAACTTGGGATTTCACAAAATTACATAGGAATATTTTTTCAATGGTGGAACATAATACTCAACATTACATTTTAAGACAGACTATCAGGGGGCTGGTGTGATAGCTCAGTGGTCTAAAGTGCCTGCTTAGGCAAGTTTAGGCAGTGTAGGAGACTGTGGTTCAATCCCTGGCACCACATTCCATGCCAGCCACACCCTCCGGGAAAGGTGAACTGGCCAAAAACAGAAGACAATATCAGGACAAAAACAGAAACAAATTAAGTGAATAAAATAATAAAATTCAGTCATGTACCTAAAATGTTGACTAGCATTAGGGTATCTATTTCTTAAGATAATTAAATATACTAGACATCTTAGAGGAAACAAAGTTACCTTCTAACTAGAGCCTCATTGCAGACCTCAATGGGAATCATGAAAACACAATATTGAAGTTGAACAACTCTTTGATGATGAATTTTGAAAGTCTGAGGTGTGTATCCCAATGAACTGGACCTTATGCTACATATTTGCCTAATAGTGCATTTGAGCCAAAAACTAGAGATTGTTACATCATTACTGGGCACTTTTCACAAGTCAGTCTTCAATAGCTTTCTTCAGTACCAAGTTAGGAATTCCACTTACAAGAACCATAAATAAAAACTGATGGTACCTTTAATAGTTTAAGTCATTGCTCCATTATAAAAAGTATCTTAGCCCAATAAGACATAATCATATGAATATCCAGAATAAGCAGAAATAAGGGAGAGAAATGTCATATTGTACTCTTACCGGTTAGTATAATGATTTTATAACTGCCCCATGTAAAATCATATTGTTTTAAATAAAAGGTAAACATGGCCTTCATTAATGAATTTGCTATAAATGGCAGCTTTTAGCCACTTTAACGCACACACTCACACACACACGATTCAGGGGTTTGAAAAACAAATTAACTTTCCATTAATTACAAAAATTGCTGCTCTCCTCGAGTGTCACTAGTAAAACATAGGTGTCAAGCTGCAGAACATATTTTATCCACTAGCAACAGTACCTGCTCCTGGCAAATATCAGATGCAGTTTTGCTGGCATTTGAGAGCGATTTTCCAGGTTCTATGCTGTGATTAGCATGCGGCTGGCTCCCTTTGTCACTTTGGGAATGCCAGAGCCCCTAAATCCACTGCCAGTGGGCTCCCCACATGCACTGTGCCCCGTGCTATGAGCAGCTATTTTCCTATTCTACTGTATCCTAAGTGCACTCTGCTAATTAATCCGAAGGCCTTTGCCTATGGCTCTAAAACTTGAGGAATAAGATATTAATCACTTTACAGATTTTTCTAGAAATTTTATTTATTGGACAGAGGAGAAAAATATAGTTTCTTTCTTTCCTTTTTTTTTTTTTTTTGGCAGAACCAGGGATTGAACTCAGGCCTTTATGCTTGCCAGGGAAGCACTAAGCCATCTCCCCAGTCCCCTATAGTTTCTTTCATAGATAATATACTATACATATGTTATGGTAGGCAGCAATACCTCCTGTCAATAATAATTTAAGATTTTTTTCTATTCTGTGAGAAGTTTAAATAATCAAAAAGGAAAGATTAGGATTAAAAGGTTCTCTAATAATAACGTAAATTTCTGCATGAAATTAGCAAAACATTTTTTTCTTTCTCATTTGTCATCATGTTTTTCAGGTAATGTTATTTGCAGTGCAAAAGAGAAATTGGTCTAGCCTATGAAAGCACAAATCTTTTTAAAAAATCAAGTTTAATTAAGGAAAATTAATGCCAAGCATAAGAACACGTTTTTGTTCTCTGACAAGTTCACACTATGTTACTTAGGCTGGCCTAAAACTCCTAGTCTAAAGAATGCTGCTACTTCAGCCCACAGAGCAGCTCAGACTACTAGCCACAGCTGGATCTACAAACAGCACTTTCAAAGTGTATCCGAAATATGATGCATAGTGTAAAAATATTCATTCAGCGCAAACACCCCCAAAACACCTGCTTCTTGCATTTTACTGTTAAATATGTACTCCTACTTTCTATATGCACTTGTATTCTATATACCTTAAAAGTAAAAACGTGAAGTGATCAGACATGTGCTCAGGAAATCCTTACGCTTTGTCACTTTCCTAGCATGCTTTATTTTGTTGGGGTTTTCTGTGGCAGGGTCAGCCATGGTCCTTCCAATCTTCTGGAGACTGTGAAAAGGTACAGGTGGGCATAACATGCTGGGTCCCAAACAAAAACATGAAACGGCAGTGGGAAAGGAGACAATATGCGGGCCCTCTTTCTTTTTGACAACTTAGAATGTACATGGCACTTTCTTTTTTTTTTATGTATTTAGTACAGGGTTTACATGGTCTCATTACGTAGATCAGACTTGTAGTGATTTTACTGTTTTCAGCCTCCCAAGCACTGGGATTACAGGCACACACCACCATGCCCAGTCTCAATCACCCTCTCAGTGCACTCTGGGGGTGGGGACTGAACCCCTGGCCACCGCACTCTGCCTAAGCAGGCGCTTTAATCTATTGAGCTATCTGGCCTGCCCTGTCCATGGTACTTTAAAAAGTTATTCTCTATAAGAAAAATTAAAGGGTGATTACTAATCATCCAGGGATGAACCACAGAGGCATCACAGAGACTTCCTTAGAAAACCCAGCTGCTTTCGAAGACTAAGAAAAGTCACAAAATATATACACGAGACCATCAAAGTAAAACAAAATTTCAGTTGATGCAGCTTAAAAAATACCATTGGAACTATAGATCTTAATAGACAAGAGAAGGAGACCCTGAGATGCAAGGCAGAAAACTTCATTCCACGTGTGTAGGTGAACCTCGATCGCAAATCTTCACATTCTGAGGCAAAAAAAGGACTGGAATGTATTATACTACTTTATACATTCTAAGATGAGCCCCTTCATCATTTACTTTCTATTAAAATATTTTATAAATGTATACACTTACACATATAAAATATATTTATATTAATTATTTATATACATGCGTATGTTTATACTTCTACATATATGAAATATAGATAGATAGATAGATAGATAGATAGATAGATAGATAGATAGATATTTGTATGTAAATACAAGTACTTAAGCCCAGCTTAACAAGATGAGAAAAAATGAGGTAGGAAATACACATCATACTTAATAAAATAAATCCATGCCAGGTGTGGTGGCACACACCTATAATCCCAGTACACAAGAGGATAAGACAGGAGGATTATTTCAAATTTGAGCCTAGTTTGGTCTAGCCAGTAAGATCTAAATCAGCCTGAAATATTTAAGAAGATCCTGTTTGAAAAATCAAACAGCTCAGCAATTAAATTATATATTACCAAATGAAATACACCAAATTAATATTACCAAAGTATTACCAAATTAAATTATATATTACCAAATGAAATACACCAAATTAATATTACCAAAGTATTACCAAATTAAATTATATATTACCATTTGGTAATATATCTATTACCAAATGATGGCTAGATTTAGAGAATCATGAAAAAAAAAGTTCTTATTTGCTCAAAAATTTTGCAGGCCAAAGATAACCATGCCGGCATGATGACTTTACTCCTATCATCCCTTCTTTCCAGAGTGAGTTCCCAAGTCCTTTCCAGCACCTGATCAGTCCCTACTCATCCACACAAGCGTGTAAAGACCCTGTAGCCCCTTGGCCGCCCAAGAACACACCTCCATTCTCATGGCCCGTGCGCTTCGCACACGCATCCTGCCACACACAGTGAGCAGCTACCCTCCCAGCTGATTCCACCCTGTCTTACATGTGCTTTGTCAGTTAATCACAAGGTCTTTTCTTATGGCTCAATAACTTGAGAAATTAGACAGTCATCACTTTGCACCCATTTTTTGCTAAAAAAAAAGTAAATTGTATTTATTGCACAGAGGAGAAAAACAATTTCTTTTCTGGACAGCATATTGTCCATATGTTATAATAGGAAGCAGTATTTGTTGTGTTGTCATCTCTCCCTCCTGTCCCGCAGTCCCCAGGGCCAGCACACCTCATCAGAGCACTGTCATTACCAAGCCATCCTGTACCTGCTCTGTCTCTCTGAACCCTGGGAGGATAACACCTTTGTACTTTCAGTGCCATGCCCACTCAAAGAACGGGCACTCATACATTTGTTGATGGAAAGAATGAACAGTGGAATGAAGAAACTCTACAGTGGAAAATACAATTCTTTTAAAAAAATGCCTCTTTTTGTTCAAGAGAAACCCTTGAAACTTGAACCTATTAGTGTATCATTTTAGAAGAAATGGAATGATTCCATTGGGTTATTTCATCTAATATGAAATCTCTTGCTGCAAGCTTTTGGATGACTCTGAAACTATCTCTGTGGAAGATAGTTTGGCAACTGTATAATTTTTTATTGATCTGAACAGCTGTGAGATAAGGAGCAAAGATGTAGCAAGTTCAGCATTTTAACTGCAAGAATTGTACCACAGAGTAAAACAAGATAGAAAGATTCACCTCTCTCTCTCTCTCTCTCTCTCTCTCTCTCTCTCTCTCTCTCTCTCACACACACACACACACACACACACAGACTTCTTTTGTCCTTAGCTGAGAAAAACAATGAGGTAAGAATAAGAGCTAAATCTCCTAAGAACAAGTAGAAATAAAAGTTAAATAAGTTGTAGAAATGCATGTACCACAGAGCAAAAGGCCCCATCTGTCACTTTCCTGTTATGCCTTCCATCCAATGCCCCCCACTGTCCTTTGTCACTGGATTTGTTTATTTTTTGT